GAGTTTGTCGATAATGAGTAAAGTCGTTAGCTGTGCTTACCACTACACTTATTTGAGTAGCCTCTGGACAACATGGAAAGGTGTAGGCTGTTTTTCTGTGATTTTCGGGCTTTTAAGCACCATTTGTTGAAAATTCTCGATGACATTCGCTTAGAAACAATTAAAATGGCTCTGTGTTCCCTCATTGCTGTTGATTTTGTAAGCAGACAAGTAACCGATAGCTATAAAAAAAAACAGTTTTTTAGTCCTCTTAAACCTGATCATGTGTAGAATCCAAAGATAAATTTACTGGAAGCAAGCACGTCTACTTGAATAATATAATCAGATGTCCTATACACACGTCAAACTCTGTTAAATTATGATAAATAACACTAAATAGAACAATGTGAAAATCTGCTTTCAATGATCTCATAAAAAGATATTAAAAAATCACTAAATAATTTCAAGACAGATATTTTTCACTGCCAACCAAAGAGCAGTGGACAACTGTTTCATCCCAGGTCGACACTCTTCAGCAGTATGTACCTACTACTCGACTAAGAATAGGGCTCAGGATCTTTAGGTTACGAGCCACTGGGTTCAATTTCAACTTCCCTTAATGCACAACATAGAGTTTACGGGTTAGTGAATTCCAACCCGGTGGTTGAATGGACGAAGAAACTCATATATTCATAATGGGATCATGGGTATATGCCACTTAAGAGTCCGGATTAGGATAAATCTGCTGTCCAATGCTATTTGAGTTTCAAAGTTAATCCATTAAATATATTCAAAAGAATGGTTACTGAACAAAGAATATTCTTTTCGATAACTTGCTCTTCATCAGGTCCTACCGTTCGATATACATAATAGTGAATGAATGAATGAATTAGTGTTATTAACAGCATCAGTGTCGTTTAACTAATATCGAATCAACAATAATAATACTAATGGATTACAATCCGATAGCATCAACATAACAATACACACTGAATATCAGACAGAGAAATTATGAAAGATTATAATAATACAAATTCATGAATTTACGGTCTCCACTGAAGGCCAGCCTGGGCAGTGGTAATGGTTGGACTTACTTCTTTTCATACAAAGCACTAGTTGTCACGTGCGAATCACGATAGCCATTTCTGTTTGGAGTATGTGCTACGTCGATGTTTTTGGTAATTCATTTGATAATCGAAAAATGATGGAGTGACTTATATTGGCTGCTGTTCTAGGAACTTGATTTTTCATGCTCGCTCGGGAACATCTCCCTGTGTAGTTGGAAGCATCAATAACTCGATATTAGAACACCTGTTCCAAACCTGCTTCAAAGCTAATATTGAAGAGTCCTTTCCTATCACATACCGCGTACCAAAGAAACTGCCGGAAATATCTAGGCACCGCATACTCCAAACAGCAGAGGCTACCGGTATTCATGTGAAACAACCACTGCTTTGTGTTCAGAAGAGGCATGTCCATCCACTAATACTGCCCTGGCTGGCATTCAGTGAAGACTATAAATTCATGAATTTGTATTATCATCTTTCCTAATTTCTCTGTCTGATATTCAGTGTGTATTGTTATGTTGATGCTATCGGACTGTAATCCATTGATATTATTATTATTATTGATTCGATGTTATTTAAACGACACTGATATGCATCGGTGGCACAGTGGTTAGGACTCTCGCTGACAATGCACATGGTCCGGTGTGTAATTATTGCATAATATACTTTATTTATTTTAACTAGTTACACAATCAAAATGTTACGTAATCACCATGTTATTTATTGATCACCTTTTAAATCTCCGATTACACCTATTAGTACACTTAATAAGCATTTGTTGTAATGCCTTAAATTGCTCATAGGTGATCAGAGTTTCTGCCAATGCAATACTAAAACCAAGCATTTACCAACTGGTAAAATCAAATTTTCTGATAATACAATTCCATCAGAGTAAGACTTACAACTTAAGTGACCACACACCCTGAGTCTGATCCAGAAGGCAATGAGTGAAGCAGCGTTTTCATGATTGCCGGTAATCGAAACAGGTGTTCATAGGCCATTCGATCATTTCGAAATCTGGACTTTCTAGTTCTAATGGATGGATTAATAGATGTGTGAAAAACTTGGGCACTGTGGTAGTAGGTAATTCCACATTACTTGATTATGAAAAATGAGGATGAAACAAAGAACATCCTGGATAAATTTAACGATATTCATCCTGCAATAAATTTTACCAGCGAGAAAGAAAAAGACTCGAGTATTTCATTTCTAGACGTCCTTATGACCAGAAAAGAGGATGGAACAATAAGAAGAAGTGCATATAGAAAACCTACATCAACTGGTCAGTATACTCATTTTTTCAGCTTTGTGCCCTTGAAATACAAATGCAATCTGATAAAGTGCTTGGTTCACAGAGCAAGAGCAATCTACTCGGATGAATGTATTGATGAGGAACTTAATAATATTAAACGGTTGCTGAGTGAAAACGGTTATCCAGAAAAGTTTATTGATAAGAATATGAATCTAAAATCAAGGTACCAACAGTTCCTAAAAAGGCCTTATTTTTACAAATTCAGTTCCTTGGGGACAACATCAGCGAAATACTAACACAATGTCTTAGAAATTCTGCAAAAAGATCACTCCCTGATGCTGTATTACTCTATGTTTTCAAAACCACCCCCATTTTGCGTTCGGAAGTAAAAGATGAACTGCCTAATTTCGCCTCGTCCATGTGTATTTACCAATTTAACTGCTCCTGTGGAGTGAGCCAGTTACATAGGCCACACCATTAGACGTGTTTGTCGTCGAATTTCGGAACATCAACCTGTGTGGTTGGTTAAGTAAAGGTCAAACAAAATCTATTCGCAGTGCTATTCTATCTCATCTTGTGGATACAGAACACAAGATTGATGTCAATGAGGCTTTCAAAGTCATTTACTGCATACCAACTAATCTTAACTTTACCTTAAGAGAGTTCGTTTACTACATATTGCTGAGGCTGGCTGTTGGGATCCACATTAAGAAGCCTAACTTATGTGTCCAAAAGAAGCTAGTTCAGACATTGTCCTTACCCCGTTGGCCATCTAGGTTCGAATGATTCCCAATTTTTTGTGGAAATTTCCTTAATTTTAGTTGATATTCTATTTGCTATTATATCTTTATTATTATTATAATTTATGCATCTTTAATGAACTGTAATTCCATTGTGATCTTACTTTACAAATCGATATTATTTAAAAAAAAACACTAATATTGTTATTGACTACTATTCTAGAATATTCTATGTATATAAACATGCATATATAATTGTAGAGCCAGAAGAGGAATTTATCGAAAAGGATATTCTTTGCTCAATTATTTTGTATTTTTTAGGTGTTTGAATTCCATATTACTTTGTTGATTAGATATATCACACAGTGAGTGAAACCGTATTATTTACTGGATGATGTTTTGAACAAAATTTATTGCGGTTCAGAATCATATCAATTATAAACACACACGACTTCGAAACTTTAGTTTTACAGTTTTCTTCCATTTGTATTACGGGTAGTAGAATTTTCCAGATATCTGCCTGGACGCGTGTTGAATCATTCCTATTACACATATTCTCTCAGTTGATTCGATAAACAAAGCTTCCGTTATCAATCTCTCCCTCCACCCTGTGACATTAGATTTTAAAACTGTCATCTTATCCCATCTATCCTATTGTGTGGTTGTATGTAATTGCAGGTAGTGAGTGCTATCTATGGTTGAACTTTTCTCTAGATTTCTTACTACGTTAGGGCCAACTCATCTAGATTTTGTTAGGGTTTTATGTTCGGTTAGTCTGACTGCCCCTCTTCTACTACTTTGCCCTATGTATTTGACCTGACAATCATTCCAGCACGGTTTTCGATAAACTAGACTGTTTTGTTTTATTGGCTCCACAGGATCCTTTAACCGACAAAGCTTGTTTCGAATTGAGTTTTTGGGTTTGAATGCCAGCTGCTTTTATTCCTGCCTTGTTAAGAATTCTGCGTAAGGTTTCCGAGGTTCCTTCTTTGTATGAAAGTACTACTGATGATTTAGATTCCTTATTGTTGGTGTTGTCATTATCCTGCGTATGTTTGGCATGCATGCATCTAATACCCTGCCTGCAATGATTGTCAGGTTAAATACATACGTCAAAGTAGTAGAACAAGTGCAGTCAGACTAGCCGAGCATAAAAACCTAGCAAAATCTAGATTGGTTGACCCGAATAAGATAAGAAATCTAGAGAATAGTTCAGCTATACCACTCATTACATGCAATTACACACAGCCATACAATAGGATGACAGTACTAAAATCTAATGTAACTGGGCGGAAGGAGAGATTGCTAACGGAAGCTTTGTTTATCGAATCACCTGCAATCACGTGCAATAAGAATGATTCAACACCTGTCCTGGCAGATATCTGGAAAATTCTACTACCCCAACGACGACAAATAGGAGAGAACAAAGAAAACTATATAACTCAAGTTTCGAAGTCGTGTGTGTTTATAATTGATATGATTCTGAACCGCAATAAACTTTGTTCAAAACGTCATCCAGTAAGTAATACTGTTTCACTGTGTGATATATCTAATCAACAAAGTAATATGGAACCAATGGATGGACCTGTATATCTCCACAAGTCCGGTTGTTGGCGCCAGATGTTTGCTTTCATTTTTGTGAGGAACAACCTCGCTGCGTGTAGACAGAGGTTATGGACGGGTGACTACATGGGAATATTTCGAGAGGAAGGCCCAGAAGTTAATCCACTCTCAGCCGTACCATGTCGTTTTATGCAGGGCACTGAAGAGTCCCCAAGTAGGACGAAACAGTTGTATCCAGCAGACATCAATTGATCACCCAACTTGAAACATCAACCAAATTCTTGCAAGTCAATACTTGAAAATAACTGTTTTGATTTCATATATTTCCCGTATTATGGCTAATAATTGTCTCTCGAAAACCATCTGTTACGCTCCTATAATTCACAATAAATTATACAGAGATTGAACGCCAATGACACTTACTACATGGCTGCAGAAAGTTTGGAACGCAAAGTCAAACTACTAGAAGCCATTGTCTGCTATTTAAACTTGAGCATGATTGATATTAATGAATCGTAGCTCCATTTTCGCTGTGACTAACTTTATATAATTTCTTATTACGTAACATGTTGTGGTTAGTAGTGAGTTAATTGTTCAGTTCTAACCTAGGTTCGACTCCCCACCGACGCCTAGTTTACTAGCCGATGCCCCCACCACCTCTTAACAACCTGATACAGACGAGGGTAAGTAGACTTCGGTTTGTTTCCCTCTCAAAAGGCCCTCATGTCCTATTCACTGCCTTCACCCGGCGGGAGAGTTTCTCACAAAAGTGAAAGGCTAAATGTGAACGTCTGGCGCATATAACCGAATCGGTGAGCATTCAGATCTACCTAGTGGAAGGCTTACGGGGTGCCCCCTTAAGACAACCATCTGTTTCGATCTAGCCTCCCAAGCTGTAACTCCCCCCTCACTCAAACTATGAGATTTCATTCAAGTATTGGTTTGCAGGGATTTAATTGGTCCCAGGATTCCATCATTAGCTGACACCGGTTAGAGAACCACTAGGAAACCTGGTTAGCCGTTTCGTCCTAGTTTGGGACTCTTTATCAAGCTCGCGCCCACCCATCAGGATTCGAACCCTGGACCTTCTGGTTACAAGGCGACCTCGTAGACCATTAAACCACTGGAACCCACCGATGAATTCCAACTTCTACCAATTCATGATATAGCGCAATCACTAACCAGTGTCATCGGTGGGGAGTCTGTCTGTTTTCGACATAGAACTTTGCACATATGTGCGGCAGTTCAAGTCGCCACACTCCCTCCCTGTAGCACACAAAGCAAGAGAAGAAAGTAGAAGAAATGCATAAGAGAGGCAGTAAATAGAGATGTGAGACAAAGGAATATAAATAACGAAGAACGATATAGTTTCATTTGAAATCATAAGTCACAAGGAGTGGATGCATCTGCGCCATCACTGAGAACGATTTTGAGCCATATCACCAATTGTCTCCAGCCTTGATTGGTTTTTACCATCCTGAGGACCCCAACCATTCAGTAACTCTACACCATCCTAGGTGACTGGCTGGCTTAAACTAACTGTTGTGGATTTCATTGACTGATGAAGCCATGTTTTGGTTTGACCACCACTCACTAGCTCTTTTCCAACCTGATCCACCATATGTCAGCTAACATTGCCTGTTGTTGAGGAAGGCGATGGCTAGGCATACGTTAACACATGTCCTAACCATCTCAGCCGATGCAGCTTCACAGCCTCGTCGACTGGTTTCCCCTCCTTACCTAGAACTCGACCGAAGCCTAACCTCAATATTGCTCACCTTATTATACCACTTCACATGGCAGATAGAACGCAGGCATCTTTGATTAAAGATAGCTAACCAGGTTCTTCACGTATTCCACATTCAATGGCCAGGTCTTGCAGACAGCCATAAAGGAGGACGGAGCGGACTGATGAGCAGTACACACGCCCTTTGGTCGATAGTCGGATATCACGTCTACGCCAGAGACGGTGTAAACTGGTATATGCGAAACTAGCCCTCTGTATTCGAGTATTTGTCCTCACACTCTACCTTCTGTACCCCCACTGGTGACGACTCCAGGTAACTGTATCCTGTAGCCAGTCAGTCACTAGCGATCATCAAATTAACTTCTCAGAGTAAGTTTGTGGGGATTCGATTTACTTCAGGTTTAACCATGGGTCCTAGTGACTGAATGGTCTAAGAGCTTGCTTTGTAACCAGAAAGTCCAAGGTTCGAAGCCCCGTGGGTGTGTATTGTCGATGAATTTCCAAACTAGGAGGAAACAGCTGTCACCCCGAAGGAGATAGGAGGACGGCAGTGGGGCTAGCAACCCTAATCGCATAAAATACGCACCGCTATCGAAACTTCAAACCTCAAGCTCAAAGTTTAAAACCCTATATTCCATTCGGAACACAAACCACACCACAAAATAGAATAATTCACAAGCGCAGAAATTCCCAGTTGCTCAACCAACCACATCACACTTTCAGCACTTGAGGAAAAAAACACAAAGCTTATTTATTGGAAGTAAACTCGTCTTCTTTCAAAAAAAAAACAACGTTGAATCATTTCCAAAATCAAGGAAAAAAAACAAAAAGAAGTAAAAAGTACATTAAAACAAGACAATTAATTTGATCTTTTTCTTCTATTTATCTCCTCAATTCTTCCCTATTCATCATCTTATGTTAAGAAAACAATAGGCGCCACACACACGCGCACACAAGGGTAAATCACAGATAAGCCGGGAGTGTTTTGAAATCATCAACAAATGATGAAAATGGAACTTTCGAGAGAGAAAAAGAGAAGTGTAAACGCAAAAGTGCAACAAATTTACAGGATGACACAAAAGATAAGCAAGATAACCAGACAATGGATAGAGAATAGAAAAAAGTATGGCTGAATAGTACTCTGAACACACTCATATACACGCACACACGTATTAAAGAAACAAAATGGACAGGACATCTTCTTCACATTGGAAGGAAGTCAAAACATGGCACAATATGCCCAGTTAGCCCACACCTTCAGAAGTGAAAATCACAAAAGATCATATCACAAAGAAAGAAAGGAAGAAGAAAGAACTGTAATGGTACATATACACAACACATAGAACAAGGTTAGATAGGTGTAATAGAGAAAAGAGAGAGAGAGAGAAATCAGCACAGAGGATCCATCATGATTGATTGACACCAGCAACACACACACACTCTTAAAGAACAGCCAATAAAATCAATATAATTATCAGGGTAATTAACAAAGAGAATATTGCACACCATTGTCGACGATCTGTACTCAAATGTAATAGGCGAGCGGTTCGTTTAGTGACCGAATCCAGTCTAGACTCTGTACTGATCATTTCACTAGAGAAATCATCCAGCAGAACGACTTGATCGCTTAATTCATCACCGATTCGTTGTGACATTCCTTTCAGATTTGATATTGTTGTGCCTAATTGATCTAACCGATTGTCTTGTTCATAAAGTAATTGTTTTTGTTGAGTAAGCGGATCATGATTTGCTGGTGATGAGTAAATATTTGATGATGTTTTATAGGAATGGGTTGTTGTCATATTGGAGGGGATTCTCTGTGTTGTCTCCTCTCTGGTCAAGCGAAAAACATATATGAAAACAAAAATAAAATGATTAAAGTTTCGTATCGAGAGAAACCAAAGTTATGTAGTACCTTTGATACAAATATGCAATTTTCAGCAAGTAATACAATATTGCATCTGATTTTCTCATTACAGGGGTGATAATTATAACAGGGAATGATTTCCCTGATTATTATTATTATTTCTTTTAGTTCCTAGAGGAACATAGGGCTTCAGCCGCATGTCTCCATTGCGTTCGGTTCTCTGCCAACCCGGTTCACATGGCTCCACGTCTGTCCACATGCTTTTATCTATACTCTTCACATGAAATCCTCCATGTCACCTCACCCTTGCACTGACGACCAACTCGCCACTTCCCGTTCGGGTTCCACTCGAGCGAGGGCCTGTCTTGTGATGTCACTTACTTGATGGTTTGATTTCTCAGAGTATGGCCAGTCCACCTCCATTTCTTCCTGATTTCCCTGACAGTTCTGGTGAACTAAAAGTCTTATTTTCTACACAACCGATGGTGATTCCTCGACTGAAAGATGAAGTACCTAGACTAGACAGCCAATTCTAATTGTATCTATCGATTTAACTGCCATTGTGGTGGAGTGAGTTACATTGGCTGTTGCTCTAGGAACTTGATTTCTCGTGCTCGCCAGGGAACATCTACCAATGTGGTGTGGCTAAGTAAAGGTGTAGTAAAAGCCATCAACAGTTCGACATTAGACCACCTGGTCCAAACTGGCCGGCCACAACGCAAGTATTGAAGAATTATTCTCTATTATCTACCGGGTACCAAATAAATTGCCAAAAACATCCAGGTGCTGCATACTCCAAACAGCAGAGGCTATCGCGACTCGGACGAATCGATCGGTGCTTTGTGTGCAGAAGAAACGGGTTCAGCCAGCCCCTACTACTACCCTGGCCGACCTTCAGTGGAAACTATAAATTCATGAATTTGAAATATTATCTTTCCTAATTTTTCTGACATTCAGTTTATTGTTGTTGATGCTGTTGAACTGTAATCTACTGATATTATTGATTCGATGTTATTTAAACAACATTAATGTTGTTCATAACACTAATTCATTCACTATTATGTATATATAACTGCAGAACCTGATGAAGAGCAAGTTATCGAAAAGAATATTCTTTGTTCAATAACCATTTTTGAAATAAATTTTAATGGGCATTTTTAATCAGTCAAAAAAACAGAGTCGTTTACTTAGAGTTCTTCAGTAGGTTGGCAATTTCCTGTCTTACACACTTTTCTCAGCACATAAAATGTGTGCCTGAAAAATAAGGTATGGTAGAGTTTTTGTACTTAGTCATCCAAGAACACAGTCTTCTATAGTTGATTCTAGTTCTACCTGCTTGATGAGATGCAAGGTGGTGAGAGTTGTGTATGGAGAGGATATTCAGAGTCTGACAGGATAACATTTGCTAATGTACCGCAGGAATCCAAGTGTCTATCTACACTACTCACCCTATTGACGGCATTTAGTACCCTTCGCATCATAAAAAGTTTTTCTTAAGTAACCCAAGAAAGATTTAGGTATGAGGAAGCAGTAAAGAAGTATAGGCAGAATACAAGAATTAACAAACGGTAACAGTAAAGAGGTAATAATACCAGACCGTCTTAACTTCCTTACGTAGAACTTTAAGCGCAATATTTTTCTGGAAACTAACATGGTGTGGGAAGACCAGGAACGGTGATCCAAAGAAATACACAGTCCAAGGAAATGTTAATTTTTTCCCAGTTCGTGTACATCATTGGCTTATTGGTAGAATGCTTGCCATTCACTCAAGAAGTTCGCGTGTGATTCCCAGCCAATGGACTCCTCAACCTCGACAAGAAGACAGGGAAGGTAAAATGCTGGAGGCTAGCACACCCTATTCGGTTCTTAACATCCCAAGGTTCCCCAACTGGGTTGTCTACACTTTCCTACGTGGTTGACTTAAACCAACTGTCGGAGACTTCATGGATTAATGACACGTCATGATTTGACTACTCTTAATCCTTTTTCCAACCTAATCTGATATCAGTCAACATTGCACTTCTGGGCAGGCGATGACTTGACACATTTTATAGCCATTTAAATCGATACAACTTCACAGGCTTATCGATTGACTTGTCCTGCTTAACCTAACACACATTTGACACCTAACTTTAATATTACTCACCATATTAACTCCACCTAATACGAGAGATATAATGCAAACATCCATAGCCTCCTAATATCCTTTACTTTCAATTGCCATGTCTCCCATCCATAAAGGACAAAGACAACTACTTCTGGGCAAGTAAGTACACACGTCCTAGAAAAAGAGACTAGCAGAGACCATGGAGCAAATACTCAGGAACGATGAATACCTCGCACAACAATCAAAAATGCAACGCACAAGTTGGATGGGATGCATAAACCTATGCTTAACAACGCACTTTTAATTCAACGGCCAAATATATGAACAAGTCAAAGGAACACCCATGGGATCGCCAATATCAGGTTTGATTGCAGAAGCAGTGATGCAAAGGCTCGAAAACAAAATCCTGCTAGACATCAAACCCAACATTTGGATTAGTTACGTAGATGACACTTTTGTAATAAACAACCTAATAAACAACGTCTTCAACGACATCAAATTCACAAGAGAAGAGGAATCTGAGAGCAAAATCCAATCTTTTGACATCTTAGTCAAGCGAACAACCACAAGAGAATTACAAACCCAAGTTTATAGAAAATCAATTCACACAGACCAAGTAATGAATTACAACAGCAACAATCCAATAACACAAAAGGAATTGTATACAGACACTATTCAAGAGAGCCAGGACTCATTGCAGCACTCCCATTTTAAAGAAATTGAAGAAAGATATCTCATGGACGTCTTCCAAAAGAATGGATATCCACGAATTTCCTCAAAAAAACATCTACCCCCAAGCCTCAATGAAAGCACAAAGAAAATCGCCCTACCATACACAAAAGACATCTCAGAAATCACTGAAAGACTCTTCAAACCTTTAGGAATTCCCGTCGCACAGAAACCAACAAAACCACTTCACTCAGTTCTATGTCAACCAAAAGACTCAACAACGAAAGAAGATAAAGCCACCGTCATATACAAAATAAATTGTAACAACTGCGAAAAACACTACATTGGCCAAAGTGGACGACATCCTCTTAGTCTTCGCACCCATGAACATAAACTAAGTGGTCGTCAAAAGACATGGCATCCACTCCCTCACTCATATCACTACATACAGACAACCACGGACATCAATTCGACTGGAACAAGCAACGTTCAGATATTAGACAGAGGAAACATCATGAATGCTTGAGAATTTTTAGAAGCCAGCCTGGTATTCCAGTGAATCAATCAATCAATAGACACATCGAGACAGATAAAATTTACCAACCAATAAGAAGGAAATCTCACACACACACATACAAAGGGTCAAAGTTCAAGACAAAGAAACAATCAGCAGCCTAAAGGGTATGAAAACACACAAAAACAAGGAATCACGTTGAAGGTCAGATCACCAGGAAAGATGACTAATAAACTCGTGGAGGAATCCAAAAGCCCACTTCAACAAATTGAAGTATGCGCTGAGGTGAGGATGTTGCCCAGTAGGGCAATGAAAGCTTCTCAAATAAACCATCCAGCTCAGAGAACGCAACTACATAAAAAAAAAACACGTCCTTTGATCGATAACCGGATATCACTTCTACCCTGCCAGAAATTATTTAGGTACACAAATGCCAAACAAGCCTTTTGTATTATCCGTGCATAGATTCCGTCACAAAAGGTCAGTCAATTGAGGTTGATGCAACTTACAAAATAAGTGAAGTGGTGGTCAACGTACTCTATCACTTAACAAATACATCGGTGGCACAGCGGTTAGGACTCTCGCTGACCATGCACATGGCCCGAGATTCGATCCCATGCCGACGCTTATTATTATTATTATTAATGTATCCTTTAATTCCTAGAGGAACATAGGGCTTCAGCCGTGCGTCTCCATTGCGTTCTGTTCTCTGTTAGAGTCTTCACCTGGCTCCAAGTCTGTCCACACGCTTTCATCTCCTCTTCACATGACCTCCTCCAAGTCACCCTTGAACGACCGACTCGCCGCTTCCCTTTCGGGTTCCACTCGAGCAATGGCTTGTCTAGTGATGTGACTTGATGGTTTCCTCAGAGTATGGCCAATCCATCTACATTTATTCCTGCCTATTTGCTTCACAATCGATTCCTGCTGGGTTGGTTCGCTCCCAGAGATCCCTGTTGCTGATCTTTTCTGGCCAGCCATCTGATCTAGAGTACTGAGCGAAGACAACTGTTAATGAAGGTCTGTAGTTTGTTTGAGGTGCTCTTTATGACGCGCAGTGCAAGTCTCTGATCCGTATAGTAGCATTGACTTCACATTGGAGTTGAAAATCCGAATCTTATTTTTGATGCTGAGTGTTGTTGACCTCCACACAGACTTGAGAGTAGTGAAAGCTTGTCTTGCTTTTCCGATTCTTGCTTTGATATCCTCGTCAGTTCCGCCTGTAGTTGAAACAATGCTTCCCAGGCAGGTAAAAGAGGTTGTTTCTTTCAGGTTCCTCCCATTTATGCTGATTGTTGTCTGTTGTTGTTGGTGGTGGTGTTTCCCAGGAATCTTCATCACCTTTGTTTTCTCTATGTTCACCTGAAGTCCTATCTTTGATGCTTCTTCTGCCAACTTGTTGCTTTTCGCTTGCATATCTTCCAGTTTGTGGGAAATCAGACATATATCATCGGCGAAGTCCAGATCCTCCTGCCGACTCTTACCTGACATCAATTGGTCGGCCTGCAAGATTTGGGCTGCCGAAAATCACATGCTAAATTTTCCACACTTGCACCAAAAATATGATGTGGAATCAAGCTATAATCAAAAATAACAATATTTTTTAAAAATACACAGATAAAGTCATTTTTTTATAACAAAATAAAAATTATGTAATTACTTCATTTTCACATCTCCATTGGACAGCAGTGATGACGGTGGTGATAAAAATGATGAAACGCCTTCCTGTTGTTGTTGTTGTGTCGATGGTGGCGGTGGTGCCATATGAACCGTAAAATCAATATTTGAATTCTTTATCGCTCCATCCATATTTGATGTGGGTAGATTACTTTTTACAGCTTTAATAACACTTTTTGCTTCTGACAGAAATTGACGTCTTGCTGATATATCTTTATTCGATAGACGGAATTTCATAGGATTACTTTCAACGGCGCTAACAGTTTCCTAAAATAGAAAAATAAATAAAAATTGTGCGATATAGGTTAGTTGTCTTGTGGTATCATAGCCGGGTTACTGACTTCAACCAACTTGAAGCCGATTTCAAGTACACAGCAATGGCCAGCTACCCAGCTTGATGATTGCCCTGCAAACTTGGTCGACAAAATCCAGTCAGCTTATTGGGTTAAGCTGTTGGTTTTCAACCGACGGGCTGCGGGTTCGAGTCCCGAGTTCAGTCTGGGTGACTGAACAGTAGTATCATCAGCCCTCACACGATAAATGTGACTCTTAGCCTGATGCCTGAAAAATCTATTCCAGGTATTACAGCCTAAACAAACAGACAGTCAGCTCCAACACAACGTCTGTCTGTCTGTCTGGATTCAACATAGAACTTGGCACCGAAGTGCAGCACTTCGAGTTACCACGTTCCAAATAGCACACAAACGTAGACAAGAAGATGAGTGAAGAGAATCAATAGAGTTTTGACAAGTATAAGAGTGAAACAGAATGAGTAATGGTAGAAAGGAATATGAAAGATTACAGAGACTGAATACATCTGCGTCAGCCATTGACAACGATTTTCAGTCATGTCACCTATTGTCTCCAGCCATTGATTCTTTTAGTCCCGAGGGCCCCAACCCAGAAGTCTGCATCTCCCTCCCTACCTGACTGACTCAGTTTAACTGTCAAGGATTTCATGGATTGATGCCATGTTTTTGTTTGACCACCACTTACTCTTTACCAACCTGCACCTATATCAGCTAGCAATGCCCGTCGGGGGAGGCGATGGTTAGGCATGCGCAGCACGTGACCTAGCCATCTCAATCTATGTAACTTTATAGTCTCGTCGATTGATTTTCCCTCTTTGCCCAACACAAGGAACTAGACACATGACATTGGTTACTGTCAGCTGTTTCTAGTCGAGCTCAGTTACCCGGAACAGATTTTTCATGTAGCCAGGCTAAGAGCCACACACTTATCGTGTGAGGGCTGGTGATACTACTGCCCGGTTGACCAGGCTGAAATAGACTGAGTGGGACTCGAAATCGTGACCTCTAGGTTGAAAACGGACAGCTTAAACTAGTGGGACACATCTGTCACGTGACCTATCAATGCGTTCATTACAGTCCTACAGGAAACCAGTCGTAAGCCAGAATAGCACAGTTGTAGTGTCTTTGACCGCAGCACTCGGAGACGCTGACTCAAATCTATAAGGGGAAATCAGTGTCTTTGAGGTTGCTGATACGCCATGCTAACAAATACGAATAAGCGCGTAACCTAAGTCCTTGACTTGCTGCCAATCGTCTCAATCAACTAACACCAGAAAAGTTGTTCTGTGTGATCACAATCCATCACTGATAGCATAAACAGAACAATTAATTGAGTGAAACGTGCTTTCAGCCTACACAGACTTTTGTTTAATCTTGTTCAATTTAACGAGGTAAAAATTTATATCATAAGCAAAGATACCATTTCCTTGGAATGCATCAGGAATGATCTCCCTGTGAAATAAAAAGTCTTTCCTTTGAAAGTTATTGAAAATTTAGAATTGTGAAGATATACCTTATTTTGTTTAGACGTTTCAGCCTGTGTCGCAGATTTGAATCCCTGCTAGTTCTGTGTCCGAACACTTGGGGAGGGGTGTAGTGTTGGAGAGTCCCAAACTGGGACAAGGCAGACGTCCAGTACTTCCTGGTTTTCTAGCGGTTCTTTCACTGATCTCAGCTCATGGACAATCCTGTAATCAACCGAATCCATACAAACCAATGCATGGAAATTAGTCGCTAGCGACTGGCTCTACACAGGAAGTTACCGGAGTTCTGGTGAGAAGCCGTGATGAGCGGGATCCACCAAGACAGCCAAAGGGACAGTTACCGATGACATTGGTTGGCGGTTGCGCCATATATAGCGACTTATGATACCCAATAAAACCATATTGCTCTACGTTATTACTATTCTTTTTGCCTCATATCTCTGTTTACTGCCCCTATTTTGCATTTCTTTTTACTTTCTTCACTTGCTTTGTGTGCTGAGTGAAGTGTGGCGACTCGAACTGCTACACACTGGTGTAAAGTTCTATGTTGAAACCAGACAGACAGACATACATAGCGAATTGACAGAAGTTGGAGTTCATGGGCTATTGGATCAGGTTATAGTGGCTGAATGGTCTACAAGCTGGTTGTAGTCGGAAGGTCCTGGATTCGAGTCCCGGTGGGTTAGTACTGTCGAAGAGTGCCAAACTAGGACAAAACGGTTGTCCAATACTCCCTGGTTTTCAGTGGTTCTCTAACTGATGTCAGCTCATAATTAAACCTGTAACCAACCAGAATGATGTAAGCCAATATTTGAAAACCACCTACTTCAGTCTGAAGAACTGGGCAGTATCATTAGCTCCTCATAAATTTACAAGTGTGACTCATAACTTGGTACATGAAAAATGTGTCCTGAGTAACTGAGATCCAAAAACACCAACGACAACAACAGCGAATATACAGAGTACTTGAATGTATGCAGCAGTTTTTAAACTGGTCAACTGGAGACAGGATTAATTATATGAACTCGCTTTCCTCTCATACCACTTAGTTCACAAACATTGTTTGAAACTGTCCCTACACTGAGCTATGAGCACACACTAATAACTTAAGTTCAAAATAATTAATTTTAAAAGTATCAACCACAAACAGATGAATATGAGAGGTTGTATCACGTGTTATAGGGACCTAAGGTAAATAGAATATCTAATTCCTAGGTGGCTGGCCTAAACTAACTGTTGTGGATTTGACTTACTGATAAAGCCATTTTTTGGTTTAACCACCACTGGCCTTTTCCAATCTGACCCTATGTCAGCTAACAATGCCTGTTGTCGAGGAAGACATGTACTAACCATCTCAGAGCACTACAACTAACAAATGCCTTCGATGAGCATCCACTGACTACTTCTCACTACAGCTTCAGAAGCTAGCCATCAGGTGGATACTGATATTTAAGTCAATACTTATATCCATCCCATAATTTCCAAATCGACGTCTTAAACCATCAAGAACAACAGCTGACAGTATCCAACAGTATGAAAACATACTGTCAAAATCGTAATTGTTAAATAGCCGAGACCTGTTACATCCATGGGCACGACTGGTAAGAAAAATACTTAACGGCTACTTACTTATCATATGGGATATTCCGGGACTAGTGAGTGAGAAAACATAAAAAGTGATATCAATTAGTGGAGATTGTTCACGAACAAGTCAGAATTTAGTGATGATAAGACTTCTTTGGCTGCACTGCTTGTCAACCATCCCGTCATACAAACTTTCCAATTAACTTAGAATAAACAAACACGGCAGATACACTACTGAAGGCTTGATATAACAGAACTCCATTACTCGCTAAGGATATCAGAGTTAGTAAATGAAAAATCAAAGTTAACCCGATCAGATTATTTTAACAATTAGAAAAAGCTACTCCCTGGTTACCTACCTACTAATGACAATGCAAACTTCTAATGCTACAATTGGAAAGAATGGCAATACATTCATTACCTCATCAGGAACAAATGACATAGGTTAAAATAGTACCTGACAGTATGTAAGTAGGTGTGAATTGGATTTGAAACCAAGACCCACTGATTGAAAGTTGAGTGCTTACACAAATTAGCCATATTTCCAATGAGAAAATTTAGGATGATACTCCTGACATTCATAATGGAGACGTTAAAATGATCTATAGGAAAAGTCGGGCAACTGACGAAGGCGAGGAAATATGAAGAAATGAGATCTGAAGACCGTCTAATAGTGAGGTCAATATATAATATAATGCGACACCAATTCCACATACTAAAAGTTTAGTCTCCCACTGACAACTCACGCTCTTTCGCATCAGTAAGGCAGGATACCATAATTTCCTTGCCTTTTAATTTTCTCGAAAACCCAACCCTGAAGAATTTCTGCTTCTAAACCCTTTAATGAGAGATCTTCAGGGTTTAAAAATTCCAAAAATACAACTTTATGAGGTAGACTAACGCAGTCATTCAGGAAAAATGCAAGCAGTATACCCTACGAACCTCAAATTAGACCTATTTATAGCCTGGTTAGAGTCGACTTTAACCAGGCTATGAATTGTTTATTGCATAAAGTAAAGGACCGATTCTCCAACACCAAACGAATCAAACCCATGTATTGGGATTTCACAAAACGCTAACCTGTAAGTCCATTAGATCCCAGTCAATATTCTTGATCGTCTGTCGAATTCGAGTGAGTATTTTTGTATCCTCAGGACCCGAACCACCCTTCCAATCTTCATAGAGTGTTTTAGTTAGCTGCAGATTCTTATAAACCTCCTCTTGCATTGAGAAGTATGGGTCAATGTCATCCATATTGCAGAAATACAAGTCACAAACCGTAATCCAAAACAGTAACGCTGCAATCAAAAAACTGCCTCTAACCCTTCACTCTTGTACTAATCATTTTTTTGCGCATGTAGATGATTAGATATTAGTTAGGCTTTGTGTTTGTGGGACTGAAACATATTTTATTGGATTTTCTTACTAAGGGGGATCAAAGTCAGCAACAGACTACCACGTTATTGCCAGTATCACCCACCACAAGGTACACACCGCTCCATACGGTAGTAATGAAAACAGGGCCACCACTAGCCTTTTAAGAATCAAAATCTAGAGTGACGCATTCACACTATCCTTCAGTGCTTGGATTCCAAGGGTTTTTCACCCAGAATAGTGGAATAAAGGTTAACATAACATATCACTGACACACTCCAATGCATCCATATCCCACATTCTGGAGGAATCAAACTCAATCAGGTGATTTATCGTTGCCACAAGACCAACACTAATGCCAATTACATCGCCAGTGATTAGTTCTAGGTTGCTTGGTAATTAATCTCGATGTTTATAGCACTAGGGGATCTGGAGATTGTAAAAACTAAAAGACAACAGTTGTTGTAATCACATGAGAACCATAAGACTACATTCACGATAGCTAGATCAGTAAGCTTTCACTGTGTGCTTCTTTTCAGTTTTAACAACAGTAAATTTTCTACAGTTCCTGGCTGATTCTTACTGGAGTAATTTTGCCCAGTCTCTTACAAAATATATCTTCAGTAGACTATCTGGTTGCATTAAATTAAGGTTATTCAAATGATGCAGAAATCTGATTCGATTCGCTTTGATGGAATTTCATAAATCCGACACTACGGAATTCGATGAAGCCAGGTCATTTTTTTCTTAGTAATTAGTTTTAGATTGAACTCCAGTATTACATGTCTGTTTGTGCTGCTGTTGAATAATTGGCTCTGAATTGGCTCTGCCAATACAAGTTACCTGATGCGACTTCTGGTTGTCTTGTGGATTCACTCCGTCTATCGAAGCACTGTTCAGTGTACAGGACATAAGAAATGTGAAACTTCTCGAAGGAATATTAAGCATAGTTTAGTCAGACGCAAAAAAGCTCAACTCCTCTGCATGGATTCGTCACATATGTGAGCATACACTTGAGAGCTGATGAGCAACTTCAATACCAAAACCAAACCTTGGATTTACACGTGGAAAATGAAGTTTAACGTTGAAAAATGTGGTGTGCTATGCTCCAAAGGCATTTCATCCGAACTTTCCATCTCCCTACACAACAATCATATTCCCCGTCTGCCGCTTACAACAGACTTGGGTCTAAAATACACTCCAGAATTTAGCCTAACGGAATACGTTAAATTACAAGTATCAAAGGTTAAAAGGCTTTTTGGGTTTTTATTCCGAAACTTTAAAGCGTGTGAATCCAAAATTATGCTGTACAAGTTATGCATAAGGCCCTTACTTGAATTTTGTCCTCCTGTCATGGACAGTGTTTCCGTAAAAGACAGGTGCAAATTGGAAAGCCTACAAAGGGCGCTTACCAAACGTCTAGTAGGTGAAAATCTTTGCATTTCCTACTACGACAGATGTAACATATTTGACTTGGAACCCTTATGGGTCAGACGACTGAAGTTTAACCTAAAAATTACATTTAGGATCGCTAAAGGGCTTATATATTTCCCCCACAATGAATTTACTTTTAGTTCACCTAAGAAATATAACCTTAGAAATAAATCTTCATCTTTTGAAGTGCCCCGCTGTCATACAAAGTACAGATCAAATTCTTTCACTGTCAGATACCGCTGTATTTGGAACCGTCTTCCAACTGAAATTAGAAACAGTCCTACCTCAAAAACCTTCTCATCTCTGCTGAACAAATATTTTATCAACACCGGGTTAGAAGGCGTATGTGACAGACTAAAAATCAGAGATCTAATACGGCACTCCACTAACCCTCACTGTTAGCTCCCGAAATCTGTGATCTCTATGTTTGACTCTACTTTCACTATGATTGTTTTCACAACCCCAGTCACCTATTCTCAATCAGCCTTAAATTTTAATTATTTCTTCATTCAAATATTAAAAAAAATTTTTTTCACATATCACTGATAACATGGTATTATGAGTATTTCAGAATGCTAAGAGTTCAGTCTTAAGTTCCAGATGCAAATCAACTGAAGACGACTGGTATTAAAATGTCTCTGGAGACTGCCTAATGCTACTTGTTAGCACTGTCTGCCTATACGCAAATTAAGGCCAGAATGTTGGTAGTCTAAATAATCAACTATACGGTGAGTCCTAAATAGTAATGAATCCTATCTTACTGTTCTATAATCTTGTGTAGTCAAATCTTTCGGAACAAAATATTATAAATTACTACTACTTATATGTTTAATGCTGCATGATTATGCACTGTTTTCTGAAATTACATTTGTTTATATCTAAAATGTAGACTCTGATAGTCTATTTTCCTTATACTTTTATTATTGTTCCTGTCCAAAAAGCTGTAACAGATGAAACATACATGACGGTCTTCTGAAAGTAGTCACTCATGCCATGACTTCGAATGAGTTGACAAATGAATATTTTTTTAAAAAAAAATAAAAGTTTGTGGCATATTATAACAGAAATTAAAAGATATATATAAAAAATGAAGCATTTTGCCAGGGCCTTGCACAAAAAAGGTGGGAGGGTGGTGATTGCTAGTCAGCGGATATGATGGTGGGGACATATGAGAACCACCCTTATCTGTGGGACAGCACTCTATTGCTAAGGCTCCTGAGTTCGAATGGCTTCTGCAAAATAAGAGAATAAATAAAATTTAAAAAAAGACAACAGAAGTTGAAAATTTGCCTAAAGCTGAAGTTTAAATAACAAACTCCTCGAATGCAAGTACATGGTATGAGTCCCCTACTTCAGAAGGACACCTAAATGTATACTTCAGAAAAACAGCAGTTATTATTAAGCCCTCGCTTTTCTTCTACATAGTTCACGCACTTTGACTTTTGTGTTTAACTCCTATTCAACCTATATAAGTAGGTAAAATTATCATCTTTTTTCACTTAAACTTTTTTTTCTTTTCGCAAGAAAGACTAGAATTCCATCACTAGAAAATCTCAGGGGGAAATAGTATTTTTTAAATGAAAAAGAAAACAAAAACAATGATGAACCCCATGTTTTTTACATATGTTTTGAATTATTAACACCTATTATATACTTCTGCACCTCTCTGTCGGTTTCCTTGTCTTCTTCTCTTTTCAAAGGTACTGCCTTAAACGAAGGCACTGAAACAGTGCCGCTATCCTCGGAATATTGCTAGTCCACCTGGTGAATAACGGAACCATCTCTATCATGAAATCTGCTGACAAGTTCAACGTTGGTCTCATATACAACTGGAAATGTCACAATTATAGTGTACTTACCGGTGAATTTGAAGTTTTATGGACTTTCAAACACTCTATGAATCATTTACTTGCAATTACTGTTCATTCCGCATCTCTTATATTTCACGTCAGCACCTGTACAAAAATGCTACTTACCTTCCACAATTAACGTAATCGTTTATAATTCCCGCGTGAAATTGACATACCGTATTTTTTTTCAATTACAGTTTTGATTTGATGCTATATCTCATGAATTATTCAGTTGAAAGCATATCTCGAAAATTACTTATTGCCTTATTTGTTCATTTCTTTTTAAATATTTCTCTCAAATTTACCAGTATTCAATCTATTTCTAGATTAACAAATCATATATATTCTATAAGTTCTAATTAGTGTACATTTGTTCATGCCTGTAAAAATGGCTGGTTTCTGTTCCAGAAATAAAATTATTATTATTAAGTTATATTACCCCCTTAGAGTGTTTGGATAGACAAGATGCATTATTTCCAAAAAACGCATAAATGAAGAGAGCTGATGGACAGGGAAAATGTTGGTTTTTGTTTGAAGGGTTTTAGCACCTCATTTTTTCGTGCATTCCTAAACTTTTAAAACTAGGAAGCCAATAAGTTCCTGTACCATTTTATGTGATTCTGTCTTTTAGTGGTGAACGTAGCTGCTGACCTAGGTCAGACATCCGTCATTAAGCATCCATCAGGTATCAGTGTTTGTTATTATTTACTTTCAATGAATGAAGTCACCCAGCACAGAGCAAAGAACACTTACTAAGAATGAAACACAAGGCTGTCTGTGGAGTGCGTAACAATGTGATTGTACACTTTTTGGTTATTTGCAGAAATTAGATATATTGTACATAATTTTTGTTTAAAACGCTTCTTGTTGAAATACACTTGGCTTCCATGTACGATTGAAAATACACTCTGCTGTTGGAGACTTCGTCTTCTCCTTGGTTTCTTCGGCTTACTAGCTCAGCTCTCACCGTGTTGTATCTTTCGGATTTATTGTAGAAGTCCACTACGCTCAACCGAAGACAATTCTACAACCGGGACACAGCAACTACAACCTACTCCGTCCAAACAATTAACGTCTCCATGGGTTATATAAATAATTTGTAGCAGAGGACTTAAACTTTATTTCCAAGTAACCCTTTTGTTGATATAACGTGTCGTTGCATTTTTGGTAATATGCTGTTACTTAACATTCCATTGACTTGAATTTTATTTCTCATATTTTGTAATACTAGTGAACTCGAACATAAGTCCACTACAAATTATTTGGTGAGGCTGATAAGAACACGGTTCATTTAGGCATATTCATATTCTCATTTTTGCTGTTTTATATATTTATTGTGATTTTGTGTGTGGTTTATATTTGTATCCTATTTTGCAACAATACCCCCATATTTATCATGTAGCGGTACGTCCAACGTTTGCGTTACATTTTTGCGTGATTCGTTACATAAAATTTATCTTGTTGTAATCCTTGCACAAGTACTCCACTACTTCCATACCTATAACTATTAACTCTCATATCAAATAGTTATGGTTAAACAAAGTAAAAAGCAGCGAACTCAATCCCCTGTAAAACTGATGACCTGGGATATGTGGGTAAAAACGTGGGCACTTTGTCGTTTGTAACATGGGTAAATTGGGAAAAAGTGGGCTATTTCAAAAATGACATGGGCAAAGTGGGTAATCGTGGGCTATTTTCAAAAATTACATGGGCGAAGTGGGTAATCGTGGGCTATTTTCAAAAATGACATGGGCTAAGTGGGAAAACGTGGGAAATATGGGAAAAATGGGAAGAATGATGGGATTTCGTTT